CTACATGTGTGTCAGAGATTATTACTGTACATTAATACAAGTTTCTTCAGACCTTTTTCATCAGTGGGTACATGTGAGTTTATGTTAACAGCACTAAGTCAGTTGTCCCTGGCTTGTACCCACACTCACTTTCATAAGGTCTCATCCCCATCAAATACTCATTATTTAGGGGAATTTCCAGAACTAGGGAACATTTCTCACAGAATTAGGTTAATACATACCACATACCAAGCAAGGTGCTTTAGACACTTGGGTACAAAGCAGTGAATAGGACAATGATTCCTCCATGCATGGATTTACATTCTAGCAGGAGAAGACAAACATCCGACTAGAAATAGAATTCAGCTGCGTAGTATAGTAAAAGACGATACGTGCCATGGAAAAAAGGAAAAGTGTATCTGGGATAAGGTGGTGGGGAGTGCCGGGGTCGGGAGAGGCTGTAATTTAAAGTAGAATAATCAGGGTGGGCCCCATTGAGACAGTAACTTTTAAACAAAGACGTAAAGGGTGTGAAGGGTGAAGCAATGTGGCTATCGGGCAGAAGAGTGTGGAAGACAAAAGGAACAGCAAGATCAAGTAGGATAATACCTGGTAGGTCTGAGTACAAATGTTCCCAGAGCAAATGAGTAGTCATAAGAAAGGAAACCTGAGAGTGGTACAGATCATACAGGGTTATATGGCAAGGACTTGGGCATTTTCTCTGACTGAGTTTAGTTCAGGAACGTGGTGACACTCCTTATGTTGTAAAAAGATGACATATCAAAAGATGCTCCGTATCATATGTCACCAGGGAACTCAAATTTAAAAAAAACCATGACATACCACTACACACCTATTAGAATGGTCAAATTCCAGAGCGCCAACAGTACCAAATTCTGGTGAGAATGTGGAGCAATGAGAACTCTCATTCATTGCTATTGGAACCACAAAATGGTACAGCCACTTTGGAAGACAGTTTGGTGGTTTCTTACAAAACTAAACATACGATTCAAGAAGGGTGCTTTTGGTATTTACCCAAAGGAGTTAAAAATGTATGTCCACACATAATCTGCACATAGATGTTAACAGCAGCTTTATTCATATTTTCCAAAACTTGGAAGCAACCAAGATGTCCTTCAGTAGGTGAAAGGATAAACTGGTACATGCACACAATGAAATCTTATTCAGTGCTGAAAAGAACTGAGCTATCAAGCCATGCAAAAACATAGAGGAGACTTGTATGCATATTACTAAGGTAAAGAGGATAATCTGAAAAGGCTACATACTGTATCACTTCAACTATATGACATTGTGAAAAAGGCAAAGCTATGGAGACAGCAAAGAGATCAGTGGCTGCCAGGGGGAGGGAGGAACGGAGAGGCAGAACACAAAAGACATTTAAGGGCAATGAAACTACTCTGTATGATACTGTAATGGTGGATATATGTCATCATGGAATTGTTAAACCCATAGAATGTACAACACCAAGAATGAACCTTAATATAAACTATGGACTTTGAGTAATAATGGTGTGTCAGTGTACGCTCATCAGTTGTAACAAATGTACCACTCTGGCGGGGAATATTGATAATGGGGGAGGCTATACATGTGTGAGGGGGATGGGGTATATGGAAAATCTATGTATCTTCTGCTCAATATTGCTGTGGACCTAAAACTGCTCTGAAAAATAGTCTTAAAAAAGGATTACTCTGGCTGCTGTGTTGCAAACAGAATACAGGAGGGCAAAGGCAGTAGCCAACAGAGGAGTTTAGCTGCTCATGCATCATTAGATGCATGTAGCCAATAGGAACTGTTTAGAATCTAAGCATATTTTGAAGGTAGTGTCAACAAGATTTTTGACAAAGTGAATTTGGGAGGTAACACAAAGAGAGGACTGATCAATAGGAAGGTTGCAGTTACCATTAACTGAGATGGGGAAGGTTTGGATAAAACAGATTTGGGAAAAGAAGATGAGGAGATAAGTTTGGTCAAGTGAAATTTTAGGTATCTATTGACAGCCAAGTGGAGATATCAATGGTTTTGTTAAACAAATTTGTCAGCTAAAGATCATATGGCATCTTCCACGGATTTCTTCTCCTGCCCTGCTGCTGATGGCAACTGCCAAAACGCCCCTCGAAGATGTCTTTCTGCTACTTCTGCAGTCAGAGTCTTCCATGAGGACACTGATATTGATGCCAAAGGTTCTTAAAGGTTCTTATCACGGTTTTGCAATAAATACTAAACCTTGAGGCACCAGAGAAAGGCTGTGGGCTCCTGAGCCCACATTCGCCGTGTAAAATGAAATCCTTCTTTCTCTCCCCATAGTGGCATTACATATGCTCCATGTCCTAAGCAATCTCCTTCAACTCCTATCTAAAATTTCTCCCTCCTCAGGATGAGGCATATAACCTCTTAAACTGAGACTTGTAATCTTTTCCTGTTCATTTAACCTTCACCCTTCAACTCCAAACTTTGCTTCTTCCTACTCTCTCTCCTCACTCTAATTCAAACATTCTCTTTCTGGCTCTAGGTCTGGGCATGTGCTCAGACTATTGTTAAATTATGATAATTTGTATGGACTCCATACTAGGAGAGACATCAGATTAAGATAGAGATATTGAGGCAGAGAATGGTGTGATGTGCACTGACATGGAATCCTACATGTAATGGAGACACTTCTAGCACCTAATTACTGCCTATTGGGGTATTAATAGAGAAACATTAACTTGATTGTGTTGCATAAAAGTATAACACAGCTGTGATACATCAAGAATCCACTGACTCACTATTTAAACATCTCCATGACCAAAATTCTTTCTCCACATCCGTTCTTTTGTCTATTTGTCTTCTTTCAGACTATATTAATAGATCTCTGGGAATTTCCACTAAATGAAAGAATTGTTCCTAAATTTGATGTTTTAGAATTACAAATGTTTCTGATACTTTAAATTGATTATCCAGATCTAAAATTGGCTTGTTTTTAGAATTTCTTCATATGGAGGTGGGGGGCTTAATGTGCCAAAAGATGGAACAGGAAACAGTTCAGGGTTTGTGGTTTGAAGGTGAATTCCAACAGTTGGACTCACAGCTGCTTCTGCTCCTCGGAAGAGAAAGATGGAGACTTGTAATTTTTCTAGTGAGCATGAAACAGAAGTACATGAACTGATAAAATCTGACATTTCTTGGATTACTGGAGTAACGGAAAATTATTTGTACCCATGAGAAAAAATTTA